TTTTTTTTTGGGGGGTGTTTTGTTTTCGAACATTTTATTTTTAGTACTCTTATTGTTTTGTTTTTTTTAATTATTATTATTTTTTTTTCTATAATTAATTTTTCGTTCCCTCCCATTAATTAATGAATCTAGTTAATAATAGTATTGATTTGTTTTTCCCCACCAATTTATAGTTCATTTTTTATTTTTTTTTTCAACTTTCGCTCCTTTCGCTATATTTTTTACGAAAAACAAACTGAAAACAGAATGTTTTATTATTGAAAAGGAATAAATAAGAAAAAAAAAACTACAAATGAAAACAATACGGTCTACTTGATTATTATTACTATTAATTATTGATCACGCAGATCAAAACAAAAGACGGATTACGTTTTTGATTCTCTTTTTTTGTTCGTGTTTGTGTGTAAAGCAGTGGTTTCCAAACTTGATGTTACTACGCCTCCCCCAAATAAAAGACGTAAAACTTTAGCAGATATTTGGAAAATCGCTCACTGCGACTAATATTCGCGCGCGCCTCGCAGTTTGGAAAACGCTGGTGTAAAACAATGTATTTCGATTTTGATGTATGTTGTAAGAGTGGATAAGATTGTTCATAAAACTAACTTTAATTAAGTCTACTTGGATTAAGTCGATTAACAGAATTTTCCTTTGATGTGTCTCTTGTTCACACAAATCCATTTCAATTCCTTTGCATATTTTTTTCTGCAATTTGCTTACTTTACAAGTACACGCAACGTAAGGTAATTCATATTTGTAACTCGTATAAGAATTTCAAAGCAGAATCACTTGAGGTAAAAACATTAAGGTAAAGTACCTGCCTGCCTGCCTGTACAATGCCTACTTTGTTTTTGGATAGTTGCTTAGAAACAAAACTTGACATTTACTTGTTTTCTTGATTATTTCAATGAATAAACACATTTCTTATAGTATAATTCACAAAAGTACGTTTTTAAGAAGCGGACTTTCGTTGGATGTTAAATAAATATTCATAATTGGTACTGAAATAATCGACCTCACGAGATTTATTGATTTCAGCTGTTGGTGTTTATTGTTGGCTCTTTTTTTTTTTGGGGCTTTATATACGGACAAGAAGTGAACAAAATCCATTGAAGACAGAATGTTACGTTAAGAAAAGGACTTTTTCTTCCTTTTTTTGTTGCTGCTGCTTGGGTGTCTGGATTTTCTTTTCGGAACTCTCTAATCAAGCCTCGCTCCTCATCATCGGGCTGCCTACATTCGTGAGGAGATTTCGATGAGGGGAAGAGTGTGCGTGTGAGTGTTGTTTGTACGTATATAAATGTTGAAACATTGACCGAAGAAAGATGGAAGAGGAGGAGAAGGAGGAGGTGCATGTATATATATCAACGACCTCTGAAATTAAACTCGCTGCTTCCATCCGACACACGCACGCACGTACACACATCACACGCAGTCCTCATCATCCTCTTTCTCCTCTTTGTTTTCGCTCTGACACACAAGAACTCGCATACAGCCAAACGCACACACACACACACATACTATATAGATTAAATATACGATGGGAATGTATTCTGGATGGATGTAGGGAAAGGAGATTATATGCGTGTTTGAGAAATGAGTGCGCGCGAGAGAGAGAGAGAGAGAGAATGAGTGGGGGGTGGATGTTGTATAGGCAACGTTTGGTGTGAGAGAGGAGGGGTGATCAGGTTTTCACACAAAAGGGTCGCAGGGATGAAAGGTTGGGTTGGTTGAGATTCGTTTCATCCTCTCTGTTCGACCTGCTTCGGCCCGTTGTTCATCTTCTCCGTCTTTCCCGTCGTCCCTTCATGGTTACCCTTCTGCTGCTGCTGCAGCACCGCACCGATCGTCCCCGTCCCCCCACCTGCTGCTGCTCCACCAACGCCACCTTTCGACGCGGCGCTCTGTTTGTTGCCGCTGTCCGTTTTCCTTTTACCCTGCAGCTGCTTATCGAATTCGATGTTCTGCACGGTGACGGGTACCGATTTTCGATGGTTCCAATTCACCTCCTTCTTGTTCTTCTTCATATCCGCCTTCACGCCCACGATCTCCGATTGATCCAACTGCTTGCTCTTGTTCTGCTTCACCTGCAATCAAAATCCTGTTTCCAATCTCGCTCATTCCTCGTTCATTTCCATATATTTATATAAATATAAATAAAACGTCGATAGAAAGTCCGCAGGTGTCGTCGTCATTGTGCGTACCTTCAGATCGTCGTTGCATTGACGCATCATCTCGATGATGTTGTTCGAGTACGTGGTCTTCTGCATCGTCGTTTCCCCGATGAACCACGGATGCGAGAGGATCTCGATGGCCGTGATCCGGACGGCAGGATTCTTCTCCAGGATTTTGTCCAGCAGATCTTTGCAGGCGTTCGAGGCGTGCAGCGCGTCGATGTTGATCGTTCCGTGGCAGATGCTCTTCATCACATCGTTGTCGTTCGGGTCGAAGGGCATCCGTCCGGCCAGCAGGGCGTACATGATGACGCCGATCGCCCATACGTCGCACTGCTGACTGTACGATTGATGGAGCAGCACCTCCGGGGCTACAGTTTAAAGTTTAAAGAAAGTTTAATGGGAATTCTTCATTTTTAACCGCTTAACATACCCATGTAGACGAACGTTCCGCATCTGTCGTGCAGCATGTCCGTGTGCGTGCGGCCGGTCTTCACGATGCTCAAACCGAAATCGGTGAGCTTGATGAACATGTTGTCGTTTTCGTCGTCCGGATTCGTCGTTACCAGAACATTATCCATCTTGATGTCTCTATGAACGATATCTAACAGAAATCGAAAAAACTGTACCCAAAACTCTACCCTGCGGTACTCCATATAATATATTGATTGTATGTATTTACTTATTTTGTGTAGATATGCGACGGCGCCGCTGAGGTCGTTCGTGATGCGTCTGGTCTCGCTCTCTGGAAACTTCCTGCCGCCGACGAAGAGCTTCATCAAATCCGTGTAGCACTTCTCCGTGATCAGGTAGATCTTTTTGCTGGTCTCGTAGATCTCGTGCAGGTATATGATGTGCGGATGCTGGACCATCTTCATGATCTGCACCTCGCGCTCGAAAGCTTTCATCAGGCCGGACGAGAGCTGCGCAACCGATACATAATTATTATTATGAATGTCGTACGAGAACGGATTGGTTCGGTTGTACCGCTTGCTTGTGGACCACCTTCATGGCCCATACGTGCGAGTTCTTGTTGTCTCGCACCTGGTAGACTTTGCCGAAGGTGCCGGAGCCGAGGAGATCGCCGCAGTTGTAAATCTGCGAGACGACCTCGTCGTCGTCGATCTTGATGTGCTTCACGTATCTGCTGGACGTGATGCTGCGCTGCAACAGTGAAAGCGGCGTTACTCGGAGGGGCGACCTCTTTGCGGACGCGCGTCGGCTTACGCGGGCCCCGTAGCCGGTGATCAGGGACTCCGTGTTTATGCCAGCGTTTATCATCAAAGGATTTTGCATTTTCTTTTTTCTGACATCGACGGTTCTCCGCGTGATTGAAACCGCGACGCGCCGTCTCCTAGCTACATTCGACCATTCACACCAACGCTCAATCAACATTCAAAAATCGAACTCAAACCGTCGCCGCTACTTTGGTTGCATACACATCATATTATACAAAGCAAGTTGCATAATCAGATACCTGAGACACTGTCTACAGACCACATTCAAATCACTTCTAGTAATCACACATAAAATAATTATTTACTATTATATTTTGTTAAACTTAAAAGTAGATATTTTCAAATCGAGATGTAAAAGGGAATGTTTATGGCAGTGAAATGGAAATATTTGTTTGCCAAAATAAGATTTGACGATTCACGATCCAAAATATTAGATATTTTTAACACAGCAAACGTATGTTAAGGGTACAATAATAAATTGGTTGGTACAAAGTTCGAATGGAAAAAGTATCATATTTGTTTCAGTAGTCGTACACAAAAATACGTAACATTGTGAAAAGAATGAAACGATTTACCAATAAGCTGTTATTTTCAAGAAGGCTGTAAATTTATATAAAAAAAAAAAAGAAACCTTCTGAAGTCTGAAAGAAGGCAGTTATGCCAACAGAATAAATAAAACATTTGTGCATATTTAGCAATGATCAGTTGGATCAGTTTGTTGGTGAAACAGCTGAGCTGCAATTCGGAAATCATTCCAGTTGAGTCCAGTTTCGAAATACGTAGTTGGCAGAGACAGTTTCAAAATTTCCGAGATGAATGCGTGGACAAACAGGTTAATAGGTAGATCGAAGAATTACAGGGAGACGCCGGCTTACAGGTAAATCTTGTTTCTTGTTTCTATTTTGGCGGGTCGACGTTTTTGAAATGCGCGAATCGTACGCGTTCCACGAGAGAGCGCAACGCTCGGCGTCCTCTCCTCCACCTCCTCCTCCGACGTCACGAATTGTTTTTGTTATTATTATCAGCTGATTGCTGTCAAAAAAGCAATTTGCGCAAATTGTAAGATGGCGTAAGGGGGGAATCTGCAAAGAGGCATGAACTTTAGTGTGCAGCAGCTGCAGCAGCGAATCAGAGCCGCCTCGCAAAACAACAATTTGCATCTGAATGACCTGTTCTATGCGTTCGATAGGAAATTGAAATATATGTGCATCGCGACGCGCGAAATCATGGACTGCATGTTCGAGGCCTACCTTACCCATGACTCCAACGCAGAGGTCGACGATATACCGCTAGACAGCAAAGAACCAGTCTACATCTCTGGAAAGAAGTACATCGCAGCAGAAGGTATTATTTAACACAAACACACATCACCAACCGATTCATTACAAATTCATATGTATCTTTCAGATTTATCTGCTATTCGACATGAGATAACTTCCAAGATTTGGTTCACATATAGAAGAGGTTTTGTGCCAATCGGTGGAGACGATGGACTGACCACCGACAGGGGTTGGGGTTGCATGTTGAGATGTGGGCAGATGGTCCTGGCACATGCCCTGGTGAGGGCACATCTGGGACCAGATTGGCAGTGGGATGCGGATTGCAAGGATCCCACTTACCTGAAGATCATCAGAAAGTTCGAGGACAATCGGCAAGCGCCATTCTCAATTCACCAAATTGCCTTAATGGGAGCATCCGAAGGAAAGGATGTGGGTCAGTGGTTCGGACCCAACACTGTTTCACAAGTTCTCAAGTAAGACAAACTCCTCCCCTCAAAAGTCGTATCTATTCTCTAATTGGCTCATTGTCAATAAGCCCCACCTTCATTTACAACTAAACATTTTCTCTCTTTTTTTTTTTGTAGGAAACTAATCAAATACGATGAATGGAGTTCGATTGTTATGCAGGTGGCTTTAGATAATAGCATTGTAATTAACGATATTCGTGAGCTTTCTCTAATTATTATCTTTCTTTCGCCTATCTTTACGTTCTTATTTGTTTTTCGTAGGAGAAGCGTGCGGCGTAAAATCAGCGAGCAGCACGTGCGTTATCGGGGCGACGTCGCAGTGGAAGCCTCTGCTGCTTGTGATACCGATGCGTTTGGGACTGCAGGACATCAATCCGATCTACGTGAAGAGCCTGAAAAAATGCTTTCAGTTTAAGCAGAGCCTCGGCGTGATCGGCGGCAAACCGAATCTGGCGCTGTACTTTATCGGATGCATCGGGGATGAGGTCATATACCTGGATCCGCACACCACTCAGAAGACGGGCTCCGTCGATCACAAGAACAGCGAGGATCAGGTCGAACTGGACGTCACCTACCACTGCAAGCGGGCTTCCCGCATGAACATACTCAGCATGGACCCATCCGTCGCAATCGTAATAGAAACATTTTTCCTTAAGCAAATTGAATCATCCACGTTTCTCTTGAATTTACAGTGTTTCTTCTGTCCAACCGAAGCAGACTTCGATGAGCTCTGCGTTAGAATACGAGAGGATCTCAACGGGGCGCAAGGACAACCCTTGCTGGATGTCTGCCAAGAGAAGCAACGCCAATACTCGCCGCCTCTGGATTTTGAAGAGGCTCTCGGCGCTTTCTCCACCGAAGGTAACAACTTTAAATATAAAGAAAATATTTATTTAATACTTTTTATCATGCAGAATCGTTGAATGCCGCCGAACAGTTCGATTCTGAGGAGGAGTTCGAGATCATACACTAATTCCTAATGGGTTTGGTTGAATATCCGTAATCATACGCAGCAACACTACCACTAACTAATTGATTTGTAAATACATAAATAAATCTCGAGAGAGGACGCTTACGCCGCTTTGGGGGGGCTGAAAGACATGCGTTGTGTCATCATCATGGGAGGCGAGGAATGTGGCGAAACGAACGTTACGACTTTCATTTATCTTTTTGTTGTTGTTGTTTTTTTTTCTATTTTCGCATTTCCATGGGGATAATTTTATTATTATTATTATTGATGAGGAAAAAGAAAATACAAATCTAATCGAATCTGCAAACAAAATTGATCTTTGAAATGATAATAATAGGATTATTTGTATGTCTTTATTTATATATATATATAATATACATTGTTCACAGCAAATAAGTCTATTATAAAACAAACCATTTTACTATTAACATTTCTTTTTCTTTCTTTTTATTATCATTCACATTTTTCCTCTCTTTATATTTTTGCAAAATACACACTCTCTTCCTGCATTGCCTGAACATACAATACGCACAAGTAATCACAAGTTACTTGGCAAGTATATAGCGATAGATGAAATTATAAATGATGTCTTGAAATTTGGGAAGAGGAAATAAAAATAACATATAATTGAACAAACACAAGAGGTTCAGTTGTTGATAGATATGAACAGCCCAATTCTTAAAATTTATATATATATAATAATAATAATATTTACAATTAAATTAGTTTAAGTAACAAATTATATGAAGAGACAACAAACAAAAAAACAACAGTTACAAAAATATATTTGTTACCAACATCTTCTTTTCTTGTCTCGATTCTCGTTCATCATTGAATAATGCGTATGTACATAAATATACTCACAATCGTATCGATTCATTCGTGTTCCAAACGGAAATGCCAAACCAAAATTGAGGAAAAGGAGTCGACTTTCACTTACTCAACGCACTCTCATATATAAATATATTAAATAATAAATCAATCAAACTCTCTTTGAAGGCTGCAAAATAAAACGATGGCAAATTCGATAAATAAATGTCGAAGACGTCTGCCAGCAGCAACACCGAAGATGCATTAATATTTCTTTTGATTATCTTAAATAAAACTAATCTAGATCACATTTAAACTTTGTTGCGGTTAGTCTTCCGTCGCTCCTTGCCATCGCGTTGGATACCCTTGAAAATAAGGAGAAGAAGTTGCTAACCAACTGTAGATCACAGAAAATGATGATGATGCAGATCACTTGAGGCGAAGCACGAATAAAAGCAGATCAGTGAAGGAAAGTTGAGATTAAAGTGTATATAAAAGTAAAGGTATCAAGTAGTTTGTTATCACTGATATATGAGATTTGTGTAAGGAGAAGAAACAAGGATATTTTAATCTTTAGTCAGCAAGTATCACCTTGCTGAAATTCTATCTGACAATTGCGTTTGCGGTCATTTGCATACGGATGATCAAAAAGATGAGTGTCTTACCTTTTGGTAACAGATATCTAAGCGGAGGGTTTGGTCTTTTGGTAGCTGAAGGCGTTCTCCTTGAAGTTAATGACGATCACGGTGATGTTGTCCAGAGAGCCGCGATAGTAGGCCTGCAGGGTGATGCTCTTCGCGCCGTAATCGGGTTCGTGCAGACGTTCTTTGATGAAGGCTACCGCCTCCTCGTTGCTGAAGGTGTCCCAAAGACCGTCGGAAGCGAGGATGGCGAACATCGGACGGTGATCCCTCAGCTCGAAAGTCAGAATGTCTGGGTCCGCGATAACCAGCTTCTTGTCCTTCAGCGGATAATCGCCCAGCGCTCTCGAGGTAGCCAGGATTCCGGCCACCCTCCAAACGCCGTTGAACGTGACGAAACCACCAGCCTCCCGGATTCTCTTCCTCTCCCTCATCTGCTGAGGTTTATGGTCGAAGGACATCGGAATCGCGTTTCCACGACCGTCGCACATCACGCCCCTGGAGTCGCCGACGTTCGCTACGATCAGCTTCGAACCCTCGAGGATTGCTATGAGCGCTGTGGTGCCGGCAATATCCAGCGTCTTCTTGGCGGCTTCCACTAACAATCTATCAGCAGCAAGCACTTGATCCGTCAACAATCTACAACAAAACATCAATTATTTTTATGAACTACATGTTGTGTTCTTCTTAATATTACTTTCCGTAATCTATGGTGCCGGTATTGTCGAAATACGATTTGATGGGCACCGCCTTTTGGGGCGGCTCCTTGCTGGGTTTCGCCTCTCTCGTGATGGGCCTCAGACTCTCCAGTTTATTCAAGATCTCCGCGTCGGTGATCTCCGTCGTTCCGCCCATGCACTCGTCCGTCGTCGTCTTCTTGAAGCTCTTCCGCCTCTGAGCCGCCGACCCGTACGTCGTCGTAACGTCTTCGCACTTCTCCGCCTCTCCGACGACGGTTCCGCCTTGGATCAACTTCTTGATTTCGACCACCTTATCCGTCAGATTCTTCACCAGCTTATCTTTGGCGTAGTTCGCAGCGAACTCACCGCCGTGACCATCGAAAACGGCGAACAACGCCACTCCGGTACCATTGATATCATCGTTTATAACGAATCTATCTTCCATCTTCGCTCGCCTTCCCTGCACGGCGTAAGCGCTCACCGGGCCGACCTTCAACTCCCAGCTGGCCCTCTCCAGGTCTCCAGAATTGAACAGATTCAACCGTTTCTCTTTGGTCCTCTGCGAGCCGAGCGTCTGCTGCAATTTGCCCAACACATTTCTGCTCCAAACATCGACAGAATGCAGGTAAATAAACAGCACGAATATGACTACGCCGAAGATCAGGATTTCCGGCTTCAGCACGTACGCTCTGAAGAGTCGCCCCACGTACGAGGCCATCGCCACCGGAGAGAAACTCATCGAGCTCATGCCAGCACCTCCACCACCTCCAGCGCCGCCTCCGCCGCTGCCCCAGGCCATACGCGACATGATCTTCATGTGGGACATGTACGTCTGGTAGATGATCTTGTCGTCCAGCTCGTCTTCCATCTTCTGCTTCTCGCCTACTCGTGTTATTCAACAATTAAATATTGCTTCGTTAGTGCAACCCCTAACTACCAACTAATGCTACGATATACTACGAACTACCACACAGAGACACGGCCGCACTCACGGCAGCATTTACTGACTTTTTCCCTTAACGCATCCGTTGTCCAAATTGTGCAACCTTCCAACAACAGCCATCAACACCAATTCCCGTGAATTTCTACGAACTCAGGTTATATTTTTAGAATTAAATCCAGACGAAACACAATTAGACAATTGTCACAACAGGTATACCACCACCACCACCAACGATTGTTTGTGTTTTGTTGGTGGCACTTAAGTATAGATAACATTAAACGGTAGGCAACAAACGACACAATGCATCGTACCAACCAATAATAACTTAATGCAAATTGAACTATAAACAACAGCAACGATTACATAAGCATCACATTACAATGCTTACATTGCACACACACGATTTTGTTTATAAACAAAAAAACCAACGAACAAAATGGGTTGCCTATAACATTTCAATTTTTTCACAAATATTTTCAACATTCCGTTCACAGCAAATTTAAAAAGAACGACATAATATATTAATAAAACAACAAATTATAAAATATTTGTTCACACATTCATCTCTTCGTTTAATCTAATTTTCATCTCAAATTAATAAATGCATCAGAAATTGCATATTCCACATAAGTCAGACGAAGCCGTCCGCCATTTTCTTTTACACGGCCATGCTTGTTATTTCGTTGTAACGGAATTATTACTACCAAACCCTTTTCCTTCCAATTAATTCTTTACTTTATCATTACATTTCCTTACATTTTCAGCAATCGAGATTAATTTTTAAAATCTTATTAACTTAAATCTAGAAGATTTAGGTTTAATAACTTAATTACTTCAGATGTTAATGCAAAGCCAACTTTGATGTTTAGAACAGTTAAATACTTTAAGTCGACAATTTCTGAATGATTGACAATTTTTTTTTTATAATAAACAATTAGTTTTAAGTTTATTGAAGTCGCGAAATATCAGCGAAGAAAACATGGGTGTTATTAGCAGCGAGAGTCCAGAGGAATCCATATACCACGAAAAAATAAGCTATAAATAACTTGGCAATTCCAAAAGCGTTCGTTCTGTTTACAATTGCACCACATGTTGCAAAGTTTAAACTATGCTCGTTCGCGTCCAACAGATGCCCGAATCAACAATAACAAAAGAGCACCAATAATAATCATCATCTTCGATCATCGCCAAGGAAACGAAAATCTTTTGTTGATCGATGAGAAAATCGGATCAACGTAGCTGAAAACTTCTTCTTCACCTAAACGAATTACGATTAAGTGAATAAAACGAAAGTTTGTAAAATGAGAAATGAATTTTTATTGAAATACTTTGTATGATACAAGCAACACAACATAAGTTCGAAGCACATAAACGCAGGTCGATGTGTGTTCAAAAACGAAATAAACATCAATTACAAAATAATAATAATAATAATAAAAAAAATAACGAAACAAAATAAACATGAATCGATGGAAATATATATATATATATATGTATATAAAAAAACAAAAGTGGAACTAAAAACAAAAGAATAACGTATTTCCTTGTCGTTTTTGTTTTTTTTCTTCATATAATCGTTAACACACTGCAAGTACGCATATGATCGTACAAAGCGCACATCGATCCGCTTTATAGAAATTGTAGCATATTCACAACGAACGAACGAAAAGAAAATAATAATTATACATATTTTGCATCGCACATTTTTTTTTCCCCCGTCTCTTCGCGAAAAAAGCCGCACAGAATCCGAAAGGATAATAATAATAATAATAATAAAAAATAAATCGTCCACAATCTTTTGTTTCAATAATACTGCTGCGGGATTCCATGGAGCTTTCGATGCGCGAGAAAGAGACGAATCTCCAAAATATATGCGGATGGTTCGCGTTTTGCGAATTTATAAATGTTTGTAGGAACCATCCGCATATATATATCTATTAGGATACACATTATTTTTTGTACGAAACAATGAAAAGAACAAGACCTTCTTAAAGAAAACAAAAAAAGCTTACATATATATATATACATATATATAAAAACAAATGAAAGAAATTTTTATCATCGTCTCCTTGGAGGAGAAACAAAACAAAGAAATAATAAAAGAACAAAAGACGAACAAAACGCATCAACTAAAAGAAGAGTAATAATTAGTAAGTAAGTAATAAGTAAGTAAGTGGTAGTGTATAAACTAAACTTATCGATTTTTTTTTTCCATATAAATACAATCACAGTAACAAACGGGAACCAATTCTAAATAGAAACGAAAATAATAATCGTATTATTATTATTAAGAAAGAATTAAAAAAAAATGGCTTCATTTTCTTCCTCCCTTTTCTATCTTACGAATTAATTAAAGATATATATATATTTAATAAACTAAAGAAATTATAACATAAAGAGAGAAGAATTGAAAAAGGAAAATTATATATTTGTTGTTTGTGTTCCAAGAGGTTTCGTTTTTTCACGCAGAAATTGAAAAAAAAAAAACAATTTCAGCGATGGCGGCGACAAACAACAACAACTTAAAACAAAAGTAAATCAATTACACGCGTAATCGATCGTCGATTGTTGGAGTCGTCGACAATGCGATCGTAAAAAAGAAAACCCCGCGTCTCGTTACATAACCCCAAATACACGCACGCACAAATTTACGCGTTTAAATATTTAACTTCCGACAAAAAATCACCTAATATATTTACGTTTATTACAAACTAATTTGCTTTTTCTCGATACACCCAGTCTCTCGTTTTTCTTATTTTTCTTCTTCCTCAAACTCTCTTCTTCGTCTTCATCATCGTTTCCACGACAACAAAATAAATGAATGAATACGTACAAAATAAGAAACCGCGTGTTCGTGTGTGTGTTCTTTTTTTTTTCACTCTCTCTTCTTTCGTTTCTTGGCTAAATCATTTTCTTGCAACTGGAGGAACTTTTCATGTTTATATATTTATATATATATATATTATAATAATTATTAACGTACCTGATATATTCATTTATTATTGATTACAATAAACATTTTCAATATTTATTTATGATCATATCGTCGTCATCCTCTTTTATTTCTTTTCTCTCTATAAAATCGGAGCAAGCATGCCAACAATCAACAAATGCAACTTCGTCCACGTCCTCTTCAATCCTTCTTCTTTCATCTTCTCCTCCAGCCGCCGTCCGCAAAGATAAACAAAGAGAGAGAGAGAGAAAGAATTAGGGCGGACGGCGAATGGAGGAGAGTGTTAGCCAAAAACACTCATTAATTACACCAGCTCACTCTTAAATTTTCAGTACTATCCCATGGGAATTCTCTTAACGTATTACAACGTGAATCGAAACGACGCGCGACAAAGCCAACGCGATAATTAAAAAAAAAAATAATAATTACAAAAAAAAAATGCGCGCTTCACCTAATTACTCGTTTTGTTCATTTTTTTTATTATAACTTCTTGTCATATTTATCTGTTTTGTTTTAAATATACATATATACGTTATGTAAATAGAAAGAAATGTTTGCTTTCCAATATGTTTAAATTCAAAACTGTTCAATAGAATTCGGAAAAAGAAATGATGAAAGAAAAAAATATATTTCCAAAAACTTCATGTATTATATTATATTATATATATATATATATCATCCATCATATACGTATACCAAAAATTTTGCATCACTTATGTACAAAAAAAAAACTATTATATAGTAAAAAAAAAAATATATAGAGAAGGTATAAATCTTAAACGATAAATTAATAAAAAAAAAAAAACAAATAATAATTAGCAAAGAGAATGAAAAATAAACAACGAAATGTGAAAATAATAATAATGATAAAATTGTTTATCATAAACACAAGAGTGAAAAAAAAAATAATAACTAAAAAAAAACAAAAATTAGAACCGATCAACACATGCATTCGCCTTTACTAATCATTCATTTTTTTTCTTCTTCTTCTTCTTTTGTTTTACAAGTGTTCTTTTCATTATTTTTTTTTTAGTTTGTTTTGTTTTGTTTTACTACACGCTAATAGTAAATAATAATAATAATAATAAAAATAATTAATATAAAGTATGTATGTACAAAAAAAAGGAACAAAACTTTGCGTTTATATATAATTCTAACTTCTCGATAAATATGTTTTTTGGCGTTTCACATTGGAAACTTTTCTTTTTAAGTAACAATACGATAAAAAATTAAATCATATACATATATAGTAATAGTAATAGGCTTCGGACATGGTTGACACACACGGCCAACCATGTCATCATCCTCGGTATTCGGTTGAATAAATTGTTTTTTTTTAGTTTTAGTTTTTGTTTGTTTTGTTTTTAAGGAAACGAAAATCACTGCAGAGTAGTAATAGTGGTAGTAATACGCAAAAAGAAATAATAATAATAATAGTTATATGATATACCTTTCTGTGTTTCAAAGAAGGAACGTCGCCGTGTCCTCCTCTTCTACTAGATACGCCGATTGTTTTTAGGGTCTGTTTCTTTCTTTCTTTCTTTCTTCTTTTGTCGACCACATTATATTGTTCGTGGTGTTCGGAGATTCGGATTTCAAAGTAATAAGAGAAAATAAAAAAAATAATGTTTTTAAAAAAAAAACGCACAAAACCCAGAAGGGGATGGGTTCGCCGTAACAGATAGAGAAAGAGAGATTTGTTGGTAGTGATGCACACTAAAGACATCTAATAACGTTATCTAAATTTCAGCGCTACACATTACGTAATCACGATGATTGTTTGCCTACTATGACGCCGGGTCGAGACTGCTGCTGGTGCTGTATGCTGCTGGTCGTCTGGCTGATGTTGCTGTGATGATAGTCGACGTACTGATGGTTCAATTCGATCTTGATCTTCGGCGAGGATGTGGCTACTGTCGCCGATGAAGAGGGTGGTGGTGGTGGTGCTGCTGCTGTTACTACAACAGCTGTTGCAGACGCAATAGCAGCTGTCGACGCCACTGCGACTACGGTGGGGCTGGCGGTTGCTGATGGTAGAGGTTCGGTTGCGGGGGTCGGCCGCGTCGTCAAGGCGAGCGGCACCTCCTGCGTCTGCGGCTCGTCACCGAACATATGGTCACCCTCCAGGTGTCGGATGGCCTCGACGATGGTCTCCAGGTTCTGCCGCGACGTGTTCGACACGTAGAGGCGCGCCTGGTTGTTATCGTCGTGCGGCGTGCTCGGCGACGGCAGCCTCTCGACCTCCACTTTCGGCTCCGCCTTGATGGCCGCCTCCAGCACGGACGTCAGTCGCTGCTCGGGGACGGCGATGACGACGGGCGTCGGACTCGGACTCCGCGACAGCGGCGGCGAGCAGACCACGATCTGCGTGTGACCGACGGGCGGCAGACTGTCGGCGGCCACAAGCTGTAGGTTCAGCTCGTCGGTCTCCTCCACTTGGTACATGTGCTGCTGGTACATCTGGCTTTCCAGCTGCAGCTGCCTGTTCTGTTTCTCCAGTTGCAGTCTTAGGTTCCTCTCCGCCTCCAACTGTCGATGAAGTTCCGCCAGCGATTCATCCTGTTTGACGGTGCTCACTGCGATCACGTTCACGGGCTCCGGCGACATGGATCCGAGACCTTCGTCCGAGGACTCGGATATCGTCGGCGTTATGAGCACCTCGGTTTTCCGCTTCTTCGGCGGCAGCTCACCTCCTTCGTGCTGATTCACCAACCTCTTCAGGTGGCAGTTTTGAGAAAGCAGCCGCGTCTTCTCCTGCTCCAAACTGTATATATATTCGGCCGTCTGTTGCAATATCGCAGCCTGCAAAAACAGATAAAAAGAAAACAATTAACATCATTCAAAAACTATTGCATTTCTTTCAAATGATTATGACAGACAGAAAACTTCCAAGATTCAATACGAAAAAAAAGTCTTATTGATTATTTTAGAGAAATATTTGCCAATGACAAACTTTCAAATACGATCTTAAAATATAAATGTCAATATTTAAAAAAAAAATCTTTGGATTTTTTTTTGCAATTTGGCAATAAAATAGTTGGTACATCCATAAAAGATTATTTACAGAAGAGCATATGTAAATATTATACAAGACTGTAATCTTTTTTTTTTAGGTGTAACATCATCATCATCTAACAACTAGCGAGCAGAATCTAGTCAGTCTGGTTTTCCAGAGATTCCCAGAAGATATTGCATGCATGCAGAAGTCCGGCGTGTCAACAGATGAGGATATATGTTCGTCGTTTTTTTTTTTTCGTTGGCGTATTGTGTGGAATGCATATAGAGATGGAAGGGCAGAAAGAATTGGTAACAATTTCGCAAAGCATATATTGCGACCGCAGATTGAGATAATAACTGAAACAGTTTGCGAGATAAATCCGATCTATAAATAGAACGCGTTGTTAAGAAGTGCCGATTAGTGCTGCCACTAATAAGAGACGTCGGAATGCTGTAACGTTGCGGGCCGCCGAATGCAGCAGCAGTCTTCGCTCCTCGCAGCAGGCTGCTCGCTTGCTTCGAAGAAAAGAAGAGAAGAGAAGAGAAGAGAGAAGGCAGGAAGGAAAGAAAACACATACACGTATGGGGGGAGCTGATGTAAAGCAAGTTCCAAGGACGATCTTTACGAGGAAACCGAAATGCGATGTCGGTAATATATTTAATAAATAAGTAATTATATAATGCGAAGCCTAGGTGGTGACGAACGGCTGTGGTATGCTCGTCGGGGATTGGTGTAGTGGCGGGAAGGGAGGAGGTCCTCGCTTTTGCTGATGTATGTACGTATTGAGAGTAGGTATGTAGGTAGGTATCATGATGATATGTTGTATGTGCGCGTATAATAGTATGAAAAAACTCACACATACAAACAACAGTGTATTTGTGATTTTGGATATGAAAACTTCCGAAGTCCAATTCACGGTTTTTCGCGTCCTTGGTTGCGAAATGCGCACATCGAAAACATAGAACAGCTGACACGTCGCAGCAGCAGCAGCAGCGGCGGTAGCGACCAGGAGGCGCCGACACCGGCGGCCAAGGTTATATACTTGCTCACACGTGACCATGTGAAATGGATAGAGAAAAAAAAATCACCGAGCTTAAAATAGATACACCGTGTGTTCGTTGTCGTTCGTATATGTGTATATCGTACACTCTCCGCCGTCGCTGTGTAATTGTAACCGGCGTTTAACTATATATTTAGTAGGCGGAACAGCGCCATTCCTACTATTTTTAGATGCCGACGACTATGACTACGACGACGACGACAACGATGGATGGAAACAACGATTACAACATTCTTTCCTCCTTTTACTGCTGCTCTCATAATGCAGAGAGCTCGAAAGCAGCTCATTTTTTGGGAAGAGGACCCAAAAATGACTCAACCGGCGTCACAGAATTTCGCGCAATTAGCCGTCAAGGTGCATGCACGGATGTGCTGTTGCTGCTGCTCTGCGAAATCGAGTTTTAAAGCTCTCTTCTACCTACATACGACGGACGATGTGCGTCGTCGAACGCTCGGCATAATGTGGGAGCACATATTTATTTTGATCATCAGCTGAGCCGAACAGCTGCTGCTGCTGCTGCTCTGCTCGGCCGGCATCAGGTGAAAGACCCACCATAGTAACACGCCTTTTAAATTGCAGCCAGGCAACACTCGCACACACTCTTCTTGTCTTCTTGTTGATGGTTATACGCGATCAGTATTACTTACAGCATTCCATATATCGACTACGAGTTCGCACAGTGGTACTGATGAAATAACAAAAGCTTAACCAACACATGGGCGCGTCTAATGTTGACCTACAAGAATATCTAATTTATCATAGGCTTCAACAAAAATTAAAATCTGTTGCCTCTTTGTTATCTTCTCTTAATTAAATTATGTTTCTAGAAACTATAAAGTGAATTAAGAGAAATGAAACAATACTTTTAGCAATTTAAATAAACACTAATACTATAGGTATTTATTTTAAATTACGTTTTCGTAATATCAGCAAAAATATTTCTTCGCACGACTTCTTGTACTTGTTGATAATCATGAGACATCTGCTCGTAAATGTACGAAATCCAACATTGATTGAAATATTGTGTAGAGTGTAGCGTATTGACAGACAATCAGCGATGATGATACGTGCTTCAGTTGAATGGTATGAATGTATGCATGTTGTTCGTCGAAGTCATGCGGCTGGAATTTCCGCCACTTCGGCGACATCTCATCATCTGATCAGCAGAAGCCTTCCTAAACGATTTAATTGACATCATTCATCCATCCTTCCACAGCCACAATATTTCTATTTATAGCAGCCTTTTCCTTCGCTACGCGCACTTTCGTTTCATTCAATTAATCCTCCTTCCATAGTATGTTTTTTTTTTAATCTTGTTGGTATCTTTTTTTTTTGCTTCTATAGTAGTAGTTGTAGTAATAGTAGTAGCTCTTCAAGTCTTCCGATGCAATAGCTTAACCCGAATTTATGTGTGACAAGAGAAGAGAAGAGGAAGATGGAGGAGGTTGAGTAGTAGTAGCAGCAGCATCGGCGTCGGCAGAGAGTAGTTAGTGTGTTTTGAGGCCGAGTATATTCACCCCGTGGTGACGTACACAGTGCGGACAGCGTATCGAGCGTCGGGACGCGACGCCGTGACGTAACTGCGACATCAGCTGGGCGTGGCGACGCCGACCCCAGGTTGCGGCGTCGTTCGCGAGCGGGCGCCACCAACGTCCTCCTTTTCCGAGCCTCCTCCTCCACCACCGCCGCCCGCCGTTCGATTACGCAACATCGGCGGCGGCTGGATATTAACCCCCAATCTCAACCGCCGCCCTCACTCACTCACTCTTCCCCCCCAAAACAGACGATTATGCAACGAAGCCACGTTGTGTAGTAGTATTCCTTCGTCTTCAAAATTCTCGAAGCCACGCGCTCTTTTTTTTTCCGTTCCCATTTTGCACAACATTCGAGTCTCTCGTGACCTTGCCGATGACATTTGAATTTTTGTCATACGATCAGATGTTCGGTTATTTTTTTTTGCTCTCTTCCTCACCTACAAAACTATGATCGTTTTCGCATCATCCGCGCGCCGTTCTTAACGTCGTGTTCCATTTCTTCTTTTTATTTTGTCTTTCCTTCGTCTTTCGCTTTCATCTCTTCTCTGCTGCTGCTGCTGCTCGACCATCTGAAAGCTTGTAGCTGCGGAGATATTTCCTGCCGCAACAGCTGTTTTTAAATGTACAGCATATGCCACGGATTTCATGCCCCATTCATTTAAATACTTAACATAGCAACAACAAAGAGCACGTTTTTCTTCATTAATGGACATTCTAAACATCCTAGCGCATTTTTATCAACAAATTATGTTAGTTATAAATCTCAGCTCAAAAATATGCACGTGTTAACTAGCAGTTTGTTTATTTGTTAATACAAATTATGGTATTTTTCAAATGATCTTTTACGTTTTTTTTTTCCACAATAAATTTGTAACAAATTTAACTCTTTTTCAACACCAATAAATGCATTGTTTTACCGGTTTTGCAATCGACTGACAGCAATAGCTGATTCATCGTGACGCAGTTGATTCGTTTACATACTCATATATGGCGACCATTCCAACTTTACTCTTTTCAGTTTCTTATTGCACATGCAAATGTTCTGTATCACATCCAATCAGCATCTTTTATTTAATTTTTCACCAGAACACATATTATTTTTAAAGTCTATAAAATAATTGGAATTTGCAACTAATTAGCAGCAACAGCTGACTCATAGTGACGTAATGAGACATTTTCGTAACCATATGAGCCGCTTTTTTTTGAAATTATCTCTTAATTTTTATTACACAAAACACACTTTATGTAAGGTCTACACTACCCGATATACAAGGATCGTTTACAGCTGATTCATCATGATGTAATAATCTTTTTTTTTTTCACAAAACACTACAACAGTTGATTTACCTTACTTTACTTTAACTTGTACCAAATTTTCAACTATTATTAGTCAAACACGTCCCAAATTCCTTTTAGATTACTAAATTCACCATTTAATGCAATTGACTAAATCGTTGCTCATTCCACGGATTACGAAACACAGCAAATATTTCGCTCCAACTTAACTGAGTCATGTATCAAAAATTGTATAATTTTCTCGTTATTATCGAGATGCCTAATAAATTGCGAAGCTGCGCTACAGATGATGAACGGTAAGAATATGTATGATTCGAGTTACGAAACACGGGAGAGCGCACAGTGCATTTAAATGCGCTTAGGAATTGCAAAAATGCATAGTGGCTTTATGCACGGCGAATGCAGCCCGTTAGGTATGCGATGACCAAATACCTCTGCGCCAAACAAATTACGAATGCTGCTGCTTCTAAATGGTTTCTTCCATCGAGATTCCGATTCCTCGACGTCCACAACTACCTACTTGCCTGATTAAATGGTAGTACTTGTGCAAGTAGTAATAGTAGTGCGATCAGAAACGGCAGCAGCAAATAAAGAACGGATGAAGCGGAGGAATAAGAACAGAAGATGCATTGTTCCGCGGAGGAGAGACCAGTGGGAATAGTCTAAATGCAAATAATACACGCGGATCGGGACGAAGGCATGGCAAGTTCAATAGAAAGTCTCACGTTAAACACTTATCCGGCGCAATTCACCGCAGAAAGAAAACATGTCGTGTTAAAGAATTCCAGGGCAATTACGGTGGGGTGCTTTAATACTTTAGCTGCTGCCGCCTCTTAGAGTCGTACGATCTCGTGCAGCGGACCTTGTTTGGTCATGTGAACGGCGGTTTCACGCACAAGAATGCGGCTTCACG